CTGGAGCCCCGGCTGGACGCGTCCCCAGTCTGTCCCGCTGCCCCAGGACCCCGTCCCGCGGGTCAGGGCCGCCCGTGACCCCGCGCCAACGGCCCTGTCGTGCTCTAAGCTGCTGGGCTCCTGGGCCCCGACATCAGGATCTGGGGGGACGCAGGTGCTCTCCTTGCAAACTAGTCAGGCTCCTGTGAGTGGGCACGCGGCGCCCCCACTCCTTGGCCTGCACCCCCGGAGCCCCCGTGGAGCTCCCTCACCCCCCGCAGGGTCCCGGCCGGCGGGCGGCCTCCAGGTCCCTCTGCAGCTCCCCGCAGCCCCCCACAGGTGTCTTTACCTTCCCCAGGTGGCCTCTCCTGTCTTCAGCTGGACGTGCCCGTCGCACTCCTGGCTGGGGCCTCACGGGCTGGCCTGACCCGGCGCTTCGGCCGTCCACAGTGGCGGTGACAAGAGTCTCCGGGCAAGGAAGCGTCTGCGCTGCACTGGTGTGGCCAGCGGCCCCCGGGGCGGACGGGGGGGCCAGAGACCACTGCCGCAGCACGCCTGGACGCTGCAGGCCTGACGCCCCAGCTCTCTCAGGTCCTGCTCCCCTTGGTTCTCGGGGACCCAGCGCCTTCCGGGAGGCCCCTCCAGCAGGGCCCCCCGGGAGCCAGGAGGGCGCTCCGTGGGTCCAGGCCTGGGGCCTCCCTCGGCCGTGCTGTCTCCTGCCATGGGGCTCCCCGGCCCAGGGCCTGCTGACCACAGAGTCAGTGTCCTGTGGAGCGGCCGAAGCCCCTCACCCTGGAGGGCGTCGCCCCCACAGCGGCCTGTGCCTGTGAGAGGCCCCGGTCTCCTGGGCACCGGGCCTGGCTGCTCTCAGCCCCCAGCTGGCAGGGCCACCGCGGGCCCCGCCCCAGGCCCCCGGCCCCAGCCTGGCCCCTGCCCAGCCCACGGCCCACCCACCGGCCAGCCTGCCGCTGGCCAGACGCGGCTGTGTCCCCGGAAATCTGAAGAAAAGCTGGACCAGAGCAGCTGGCACCAGCCCACGGCCTGCGACTGCCCCCGGCTGCCCATCAGTAGAGGGCACGCCCCAGGGCCGCCCCTGCCCCGCCGGGGGCCGGTGACCCCCCCCCCCAGTCTTCGCTGAGGCCTCCGGGCGCTGCGCTGTGGTCTCGGTCATTCCCGACGGGGCTGGACCTGCCCCAGCGGGCTCGGCCGGCCGGGGTCTCGGAACCCACCTGCCCCTCACTGCCCCCGCACCCGGGGCAGGGTGCTGTGCGCAGAGACCACAGAAGGAAGACGCACCCCCACCCCCGCCCCCGTGGCTCTTTGCAGCTCAGCCCCCCCACCCCTGGACAGTGCCGCCAGGCCCCCTGGGCAGGCCCGGCCAGCTGCACCGCCCCAGGGCTGGCCGTTCCCCGCCCCCTGCCGGACAGCCTGCGGTGTCCACCCCGCCTGGCGTAGGCCCCCGGCCCTGCGCCGTGAGTGGGGCCCTCCAGGGCCCGGAGTCCTGCCCCGCCTGCCCCGTGCGGCTGACCCCACCCGCGAAACAGTGAGCGGAGCTGGCACCTTGGCTCTGTGTCTGTGTCCAGAGAGAAGCCCCCGGGCCACCTGCGGCCAGCCGTGGGCCCCTGCAGCTGCCCCCGGTGGGGACAAGGGGCTGGGGGGCAGGGCGGGCACTGGCCTGGCCGTGTTCCTGGACCTCCACTGCCCTCTCCAAGGGGACCCCGCACCTTTCCGGCTGAGGCTGAGGCCGCAACCAGCCCCTCAGAGAGGGTTCAGGGGCGCTGCGGTCTCATCACACAGGGACCCAGGTGTGGGGGCCCTGCGCCCGGGACTGGAGGGGGAGGGGGGCCCTGCGCCCCGGGAGGGGGAGGGGGGCGCTGCGCCCCGGGACTGGAGGGGGAGGGGGGCGCTGCGCCCCGGGACTGGAGGGGGAGGGGGGCCCTGCGCCCCGGGACTGGAGGGGGAGGGGGGCCCTGCGCCCCGGGACTGGAGGGCGCAACCAGCCCCTCAGAGAGGGTTCAGGGGCGCTGCGGTCTCATCACACAGGGACCCAGGTGTGGGGGCCCTGGCCCCGGGACTGGAGGGGGAGGGGGGCCCTGCGCCCCGGGCCGGGAGGGGGAGGGGGGCGCTGCAGCGCCGGACACAGGAACCTGCGGCTCCCTGGCCGCTGTCGCGCCCTCAGTCCGGGCGGCTTCCGAC